ACATTTAAATTGAGGAATTAGTACCATTAAATTTCAACACAATAAAAGTTTCGATCGCTTAACTCCTTTTAGGTTTAGGAGGTTTTTCTTTTGTAAATAAAATTGTCAAACTTTCGACTCCATTTAGATTTAGGAGCACTATTAACTCCTTTATTATTTTTGGCCATGAGAATTATTTTTTATTCTACGAACACAAAATATTATCAATTCTTTCGTTAGATTAACATTGGACCGATGCCTTTTGAGTTGTTTTATTTTAATCCTTCTAATACAAACATCATACAATTATGCGAAACTAAGAAGCTTTTAGACCGTTTCAATATCGAGCATCAAAGAAATCAATTAAAATTATCAATTTTGATACCAACTAAAATTTTGTTTCTTATTTACCTTTTTTGAATAATTAGAAATTCATAATATTTTCGACTTTAGAATTAATTATGTTTTGACTTTATGTATATATTTAGAACTTTCAAAAGGATTAAAATTTTCTTTATTAAGTTTTTCTTATTTTAGAATTCAAATTTAATATCTAAATTATACTTTAAAATGTTATAGAATGTAAAGAACGGATAATCAAGTCGTAAGCACGCACATAACATTCTATTTATGCATATGAAGTGAAGGAAATAAATTATAGAAATGAGTTTGAATGGAGAAAAAGTCTCATCTATCAACATATGTATTTGTTCCTCCATAATCAACTTAGAGCAACACACAAAAAATGGTCTTGCTCCAAAGCATAGACCTGCACAGATCCCTACTACATGTTTGGTCAAGCTTTAAGAAAATGACTTATTTTAAAACGTACATTTGGCAAAATAATAGGAAAATACTTTTAAAGAGTAACTGTTTGTGTTTGTTTAATTCATTTGAGAAGTGATTGTTTCAGTAAATGATAAATATGTTATTTTATTTGGCCAATCTTTTCAAGAAATATTTTTAAGTGTCATAAACGAAAATATGGAATGATGATTAAGGATTTCCATAAGACAATTTTTTTTATTGACTTAATTAGCTATATATATATATATATATATATATATATATATATATATATATATATATATATATATATATTAATTTTATAATTTTAAACTTTTATTTTATAACTCTATATGTTTATGTGCTTGGACAGAGAAAGAAAGCTCTCTCCAAAATGAAAAAAGTACAATAACATTAAGTCTCAATTCCAAACGAGTTGGGGGTACCATATTTATCAAAAATATAGTAATTGAATTTTACTTTTGCAGTAGTGTTTTACTTTTTTCTGGAAACAATTCCTATCACATTTCTCATTGATTAGAGAAATACCAAAATTAGTATTTTCCTTATGATTAAAAAATAGATTCCTTCTGTTAGTTGGCTTGCTATAATCGTGTCGTCTAAAAGAAACTTAATATGTAGCTTTTCAAAATCCTTCTTAGAAAATACTCTTAATTTTTCAAGAATTGGTGTTATTGTTGGAATTAAAAAGGAAGCATAATAACTTATGAAATTGGAGTAATATAATTATAAAACTGAAATAAAATTTTAAGTTTGTCACACTGACCGAGATGATTGAGAATTAATATAGAATAGAGTTTAATTTTTATTGAGTTAGCTAAACAGGATGATCAATCATCATTCTAGGAATTTATATTTTTTTAACTTTTATTTTAAGCACAAATTTTAATATAACATTTATGTAAATTAATTTTAAAAAAAAAGTTATGCTTATAGAGACGGAGTACACGCGCAAAGCACGTACACTAAGACTAGACTAACAAAAAATTATTTTCAAGGATTTCACACACTACCCCATCCTATAGAGAAGTTTCACATAAACCAGATTAACTGCTCTTTCAAATAAATGAGAAACTCTTGCTACAGCACTATATGAATAATTCGAGCCACTTAAAAGATGCATCGATCAAATTACTCCACAAGTGCAATCATTGGTGTAAATTAAACGAAGATAATTAACCTTTGTTATTAATTCTCCAATTCTTCAAAATAAATCATATTTAAAAAAAATGAAAGCTCTAAATATTGCTTATTCTTTAACTGTTATACACCATGTAAATATATATAGTAGCATCACATATCATATCGTCATACTCTATATATATATATATATGATATGATCATACTCTATATATATTATAAGTGTGAAGTCCAAAAGTCAAAATTAAATTACCAAAATATCCCACAAAAGCTGAAAGACCATTTCATCCTTTATTTGAACACAACTTTTCTAATACTTTTGTACAAAAAAGTAAAATACAATGTATAATGTTTGAAATATTCTACTATGAAACTTATGAGATCTTTTTGTATTCCCTTTCAAAATTCATCTAATAATGTAGTTGAGACTCTTTTACTTCTTACATTATCATAATTTTTAATTGGGTACTTTAATCAGATTACTAGAGCGATAGAGGAAATGAAGAAACATTGTTAATAAATCATTTATGTACTTTAATGAAGAGCAATTACAAAGAGCCAAAGATGTAGAATATAAAAGAAAATTTTCTCTTGTGTTGCTTCAGCTATGTGGCTACGGACTTGGGAATATATAGGCCGTTGAAGTAAACTTATTGATGCCTCCCTATTTCTTTATTATCGATTGCCAATTTGAGATCAACAAAGTTGGATTCAAGAGTTAGAATTTTGTTTGAAGATCTACATTGTCTTTATAACTTTTGTTTGCTTTCATGCTTCATTTATCTATGCATTGCTTATTTTGTTCTTTTGACCCGGTAACTATAAACTATGTACAAATATATTTTCTTAGCCAAAATTCTTACAAATATCTCCTGTTAAGCGGTGTTTTGCAGGGCTCGACCTGGAGTCGAGAAACACCTGGAAAAACGATTAGATATTAATAAAGCCAGCGAACAAGGTTCTGAAAAAGATTAGATATTGAGTTATCAATTTTACCGTCATATCAAGGATGATCATCAGTCTAAAATTTCAGTTTAACAAATTATGATAAAATATATAACAGTTAATAATTATTTCACATTTTGCTAATTGAACTTGCACTTCCTAATCTTCAAATTGTCTTTCATATCTTATTGACATGTTTAATAATATTTGTCTACTTTTAAAAAAATTTATACTAATTGATATGGGATACACGTGCGTTGCAACGCACGTGTCTAGAAATTAATGTCCTTGACAAAGAAAAAAAGTAGAAATGGCGTGGGGTAGCCACTGTTTAAGCTGGTATTTACTTTTTATCCAATATTTTTAATGCTTAGCAATAGTAGCCACTTGTCTATTAAAATTAATATGAAAAGACTGTGTTACCCTTTCTTCTATCTCTTTTCTCTCTGATCCTACGTATACAAATGTCTACTTGCAACTTATTAAGACAACTTTTACAACATACAAGGTCTGAATTGATCGTATCCTGAAAGTAAGAAAGTGAGATATGGAGCAGAGTTGGACAGTTAGTAGACCTTGAGCCACACTGGAGGAAATGAGTTACTAAGAGAAACAACTCTTAGAGGGATAGTCAAAGCATATGTCTTAGACTTCCATTTCTCAAATGCTGCTTGAAGCTCTTCATCATCGTTATCTTCCACATTTTTCGATTTTCCAACTCCAGTGCCTATATAATTCAAAGTCCATGGCACCAAGTAAAATAAGCAGTAAAAAATAAAGAGGGAGAGAGAGAGAAGAAGAAACTCTAGACGAGATCTTCATGCAACATTCATTAGTATCAATGATATCAAAAGCAATTAGGCAAATAATGACACTAGTTCAAGTTCAAACGTTAAGTTCAATAGTTAAGGACACTAGTTCAAAAGTTAAGGACAGGCAGTCCTTAACTTACAGTTACAAGTTCTAAAGTTAAGGACAAGCAGTCCTTAACTTATAGTTACAAGTTCAAAAGTTAAGGACAGGCAGTCTTTAACTTACAGTTACAAGTTCAAAAGTTAAGGACAATAGGTCCTTAACTTTGATTTCCAAGTTCAAAAGTTAAGGACAGACAGTCCTTAACTTACAGTTACACGTTCAAAAGTTAAGGACAAGTAGTCCTTAACTTACAGTTACAAGTTCAAAAGTTAAGCACAATAGGTCCTTAACTTTGACTTACAAGTTCAAAAGTTAAGGGCGCTTGGTCCTGAAGTTTGAGTTCCAAGTTCAAAAGTTAAGGACATGTAGCCCTGAAGTCCTGAACTTAGAGTTACAAGTTCAAAAGTTAAGGACATGTAGCCCTGAAGTTCTGAACTTAGAGTTACAAGTTCAAAAGTTAAGGACATGTGGTCCTGAAGTCCTGAACTTACAGTTCCAAGTTCAAAAGTTAAGGACATGTAGTCCTGAAGTCCTGAAGTTAAGTACAAAAGTTAAGGACATGAGCAGAAGGGTATTTTCGCCCAGGCAGTTAAAGTTTATTAAAGCAGTGGCTAAAAACTAAAAATATTTTAAACGGTGGCTTAAAGTAAATACATGTATTATTAGTGGCTAACCGTGCACTTACCCCAGGAAAAAAAAATACAAATTTCAATAAAACAATTCAGAAGCTATATCAATTAATGGTTCATAATCAAGGAAAGAAAATTATAAATTAAAAAACCACACAAACAAAGAAAGTTGACTCACTTGTTTTGTGACTAATTCTCGTAGAGTTAAATTAACTAAACAGCTTGGTAATCAATGGTCTTAGGTTCGAGTTTTGAGAATAAAAAAAAAAATCCTAAAAAAAAGGAAACAACTTGGTGTATGCAGGGTTGTATGTTAGTAGAATCTAATTATTAGGTGGAAGGACGAATGGCATGCATGGTTCTAATTAGTATCTCTGTAATAAACTCTACTGTACACAAAAAAGAACACGAGAAAATTCACACTAGCTACTAAAAACAAGTGCAAGTTTTGTCCATTGATGAGAGTTAAAAAAAAATCCCCGTGGAGTTCGTGAAACCTAGTTTTAGAAGCTGCCTATAAAAGATCATACTGTCGTACTACTTAACACATACAACACTTAACTCAAAGCATATAAATTAAAAAATATGGAACGAGGCCAACACTCAAATCAGCGTAGGATCACTCGTTCATCAAATTCAGGTAACCACTTATTAATTAATTTCTTGTTACATTGATCAGTTTGTCCACGCTTTAACAATTTTGCATACTAGATGATGAAAAGAAAAAAGTTAGAATTTTGCTTGAGGGAACAGTTTTCTTGAATGTCTCATGATTGAATCATCTGAGTAAATAGAAAATGAGAAAAAATTTCTATTTTTGCTTGTACAGTATTTTTTTTTTTGGGGGGAGGGGGGAGGGGAGGGGGGGACTTAATTTCTTGTTTTCTGCAGTTAAACTTTTGAACATCAGCTATCCGCATGCATGACCAACAAAACAAAGAAAAAAATCTGAATTTTGCATGAAGCAAGGTTTTTTCTTCATACATATGTATGAATTCGATGGATATATATGTAGATTGTCCATGAACCATGATACATCATTTCGTGATGAGTTGTCTATGTTGTGTCCTACAATCTGATTGACCAAACCATCAAAAAGGAACTTGTTGTACTTTTTTTTTTCATGAAATGTACATTTAGAACTGAGGAAATTAAGCTCCCGTTTGGACATAGATTTCAGCTACTTTTCTTCATAATTTTTTGAAAACATTGTTTCTTCCAAGAATTTGATCAGTTTTTGAAAAAATTGAAGAAAAATTTTCAATTTTCAAATACTGGTTTGGGCTAGTTTTAGTGTGAAATTTTTTCACTCGCAAAAGACCAGATTTTTTTTCAAAAAAATACATGTCCATACATAATTTCACCTTCCAAAAATCTTTTTTTTTTTTTTTAATTTCAACTAAATATATGTCCACATGCTAGCTAAGTATTACAAAGTCTTCAAATTTTATGTGTTAGATAAATTAATTTCTTTCATGTCCTGATGTCCTGCAATTTCCATTGTCAAGCTGCAACGTATGTGTCAGGTTTTGTCTGTCTTTTGAGCTTAAGTCTTTGCTTCTTTTTCTTTTCTTTGTCCTCTTCTTATCGAGAAAAACCGTCGTTAGCACTAAATTTGGCCTTTACGTACTCTTGAAAAAAGGGTAAAAGACAAATGGAGAAAGAAAGATTCTCTGCTTCTATATTGTCATTACATTAGTTATTGATCGACTATGGTTTCCTAGCTAGTATTTCCAGGGTTGGTATTTAGTTGCACTTCTAAATTAAATCATTACTAATATATACGGAATTCCTAACATATCTAGTATTGATTCCTGTTATTACCCTACTATATTAGTGAACTATATGGTTGACATTCTTTTCTGACGCTCTAAAGTTTAAAGTTATTTTTATTGCCATAATATTTTATTTGTATTGTCAGCAATTTAAGCTCATGCGTCCATATTTAAATTGTTTCTATTTTTATAGTATCTTAACTTATATAGTCGAGATACTTTTCCGTACTTTATTAACATATATGGTCGAAATTCTTACTTCACGTCAACCCTCACGTGTTCAAATTATCTATATATCTTCAAGCGCTATCTTCAAGCGAGTGTACACGCGCTACCTTCAAGCGAGCATACGCGCGCTACCTTCAAGCAAACGTACGCGCTCCTTGGATATTGTTTTGTGTTCATATCGATTACTGGACAACAATTTTTTATATTCTTCTGTCGTAAATTTTAACCATATCCCTCTGCCATTATTTCTCTTTCTATATTTAAAAGGTCAGATTTCGAATAGAGTCATAATTGATCAATTTACAGTTTGTAATCAAAAAGATGAGCAACTGTAAATAAATGTATTTGAGGCTCATGTATAGTTACAATCTTCTAATCAACAACAGAATTAAACATATTTTAAGCTTTTATCTTTGAAACCAAAACTACTTCATCAATAAGATATATAGTTGTTAACTAAAATGGTCTATCAACACAAGCAACTTTGATATTTCATACCATTATAGTTATTAAAATATAGATCATGAGGTGTTACACGTGACAGATTCAGAATTTAAAATTAGTGTGTTATGTTCTTTATATATACTGTACTTATTTTATTATTTTTTGCATATAAGGCTCGAACAACAATGGCAATGGCACAGAAGCTGGGCAAGAAGGCAAGCGTGAACAGGATCTGCACCTCCCCATCGCGAACGTGACAAGAATCATGCGGCGGATTCTTCCGCAACATGCAAAAGTCTCAGACGATGCTAAAGAGGCGATCCAAGAATTGGTGTCCGAATTCATCAACCACATCACTAACTTAGCTAATGAACGTTGCCATAGGGAACAACGCAGGACTGTGACAGCTGAGGATGTCATTTGGGCCATGAACAAAACTGGGCTGACCAACTATGTTGGGCCTCTCACCCTATACCTCCAGAAACATCGTGAACAAGAAGCTTCGGGCCAACGGATCAGGCCCAATACTGTGAGGCCCAATGTGGAACTTGGGCTGGCACCGCCTACTGGGTCAGCCCAAGTTTTGCCGATTAACTATGCACCTGGGCCGGGTTATTCGTACCCGCACTTCCCACCCACTGGAGTGTTTTATGATCCAGCAGTTCATGTAATGATGAATGGGTTTAATGACATGATGAATTACATGAGGAGTGAAGAAGAGATAGGGGAGAATGATGGGCCAGCTGAGTCATCATCTTCAACTGCCACTAACTATAATGATCCATATGGACACTTCAAACACTGAACTCATGCATGAGCTATGATGGCATGCTATGGTCATAATGCTTTGTGTGGTGCTTTTAAACTTAATTTGTGTTTTAGTTTTTGCTTTTCTTTTCTGTTGTGTTGTGTGCTTTTAAGTTTCATTGTTAAGAACTCTATGTTAATGTAGTAGCTATCTGTTTAATAAATTATAAATGTGCTTGTAAATCATCTCCTTGCCTTTGAAGCTGGACATGAAAATTATTAAATATTTGCATGAATACTAATAGCCCTGATTCCTCTCTTTTTTCTTTCTTCATTTGATAAAAGAATATTAGTAGAGGGAAATGAAAGAAAATGCCGTCAAAAGAGTTTATTAATGTTGAAGCTGCAAATCTGGTTGCTACGAATAATACTAGAGATGTAAATAAGTATTATTCCATCCGGACTATAATAAGTGATTTTTTTGCTTCTTTTATTTAGGTCCAAAATAAGTGATCTTTTACATAATCAAGAAGGAATTAATTTGTTTTTCCAAAATTTGCCCTTATTTACATATCCCAATGTATCAAATTAATAATATGCAAATTTTAATTATGGGTAATTTAGTCAAAATATCTATTTTGTTCTAGGAGTTAGTATTTCTTAAAGGGTGTGCCAAAGACCACAAAGTCACTTATTATGGACCGGAGGGAGTACATGAAACTCAAGGGTGTAGGGAAGAGCGGCACTCAAAATTTAACACAGTTGAAAGAGTGAGGAAAATTATTAGACCTTACTTAGTGTTAGGCTTAATCAGCCTAAAGATACTCTTAGCACAGGATAATATCGTTAGTTTTTCGTCAAGCCCTTATGCGTTTTCCCAATAGGCCTCACACCATTAAGAGATCCATACATCTTATATGTAGGTTCCCAATTCTTTCAGCTAACTCGAGACTCTGTTCGCACCCCCGACAATCTCTCCCTCGAACTAAGTTCTACGTGGCTCATACCACGATCCATACTTATCCCCTTCGAACTAAATTTCACGTAGCCCATTACCACGATCCATAGATCAATTTTCGACATTAAGCGTATGCCACCCACATTGTTAGAGTATTTAATTATGGTAACCGAAGCCCGCTACTAAACTCTTCTTGTATATGTGTGTGTGTCTAAACTATTACGGGACGGCCGGGGCATTTGCATCTATACCCGCTTTTTTGTCACATTTTAATTGTGCCCGCTTTGCAAAAAAAAATTGCAAGCGTACCCACTTTCTCGCATAACTTCAGCACATGGGGCTGAAGTAGCAAACGCAATCACGCAAAACTTCAGCATTCTAGTAGCCGGGCCTGAAGTTCAGCTCTAGAGCTGAAGTTTTTGTGTTGTAACTGGAAACTTCAGCTCTAGAGCTGAAGTTTTTGTGTTGTAACTATGGGTGGCTAACGGGCCGGGTTGACCCGGAACCGGACCGGCGCGGTTCATAAGGGGCCGGGTGGGCTGGGTTGGGGAGTATAGGGGGTTAGAACGTTTACTTTTTTCTACCGGTTAACCGGACCCGTTTAACCCGGTCCAGATGAACAGTGCACCTAACCGGTTTAACCGGCCCGGAACCGGCCCGGTTTAACGGCTAGTATTTTTTTTTTTTTGGTTTTTTTAAGTAAAGGGTTCATGGAAACAAGGTTATTTTAGTCCATGTGATGTACAGAATCAAGAAATGTTAAGATGAAGATGTTGTATTCTGTAACATTTTTATTTTGTGGAAAGATAAAAAAATCCATTTACTTTTTTCAATTAAAGTGTCGTTGTTGAAGTGGAAATGGAAAGTTTTCTTTTTTACCAAGTTTCCATTTTAATCTACCTCAGCTTATTAATAGCATTTTGCTAATCTACAGAATGTTATACACGTATACTAAATTACTAATATGGAGATGAAGGTTGATTGTTGAATATGTTGCATTGCTCTTTGTAGTGGAGATTCAACGTTTGCTTCCTAGTTTCCATATTAATTTAAATTTGCTTAATCACTTGCCTTTTTTACTTTACTTTGAAAAAAGAGTATGAATACAACGCCATTGCCAGATTCTGCTCATCATTGGATCTCTCTCAGTATTTTTGGGGGTGAAGTTCATAAATAGCTAGATTTATAAGTAATAGGAACTTGGAGATATATTAACACATGGTAACTCATCCGAATTTAACACTCCAGAAGAAGGTCATTCAGTTCATATTGATTATGACGAACTTACTAAGGCAATGCAAAACCTTTGAATTTACTTGTTGTTAAAAATGTAAACCTTTCAATTTGTAAGTTTGAAATTTGAATTATGAAATAAAAGTAGCACTTGCAATAAGTGCAATTTTTTCTCATCTTCCTTGTATTCTTTAAATTAATACGAAGTATTAATATAACTTACAATAGTTATACAAAATTCCAAAAAAAAAAAAAAAAAAACACTAAACCTGACCCGGCCCGGCCCCCTCAACCCGTAACCCTTACGGTTCAATTTTTACCCGGATGAACCCGAACCCGTTAAACCCGTTAAGAACCAACCCGGAACCGGCCCAGACCGCAACCCGTACGGGTCCAAAAAACACAAGCCCGGACCGGCCCGGCCCGGCCCACCCGGTTAACACCTATAGTTGTAACTGGAAACTTCAGCTCTAGAGCTGAAGTTTTTGTGTTGTAACTGGAAAACTTCAGCTCTAGAGCTGAAGTTTTAGACTTAACTTACCACAATAAAATCACACAATTATATTTTCACACATTTAATTGATTATGTTTGGATATATAGCAGTTTATAGGGACAGAGAAAGAAGTGTTGCTAGGTGCAATGAATTTCGCAGAGGAATTCCAATACCAAGATATATAGGAAATATATCGAAGCGGATAGTACATGCTATTTGATCTTAAAAGCTTGCCGCAAACTTGAAAAATGAAGGGGAAGGTCCAAATCTGGAACGCCACTCGTTAACATCAAGCATAACAAGAGAATCATATACAGAATGATTATAAACATGAAAAGTTGAAAAACTATAAACATCTTAAAAGGAGATTATCCAAGATTTCCTTTCTTTTAGGTTCTTCATGTAACCCCGAACTAACCAAATCTTATGTGAAGCATATGGTGATGATGTAGAAGAATTGGATCTGATGGTTGGAATGGCTGCCGAGAAAATGAAGGAGGAGAAGGGGAGGAGAAAGGGAGCTGAAGTAGTTTAAAAGTGGGTACAAGTTAAAAGTTTTAAAAAAAATGGGTATAGGTTAAATGGAGACGCCAAATAGGGCGTCCCGTGCAATTTTTACATCTTTAAGCTTGTAAGGGAAAGTAAAGAGAGCCCCGCGTTATAACTCTACCATCACCGAGTCCGAAACCTAAATGGCAACTTTTTGGACTCAAAACACGTTTTTATAATTTTAAAAAAAGTTACTTTTCTACGTAAAACGCACTGTGATTTACGTTAACAGAATTTTAGCCGTTAAAGTAAATACTATAACGCAGTATTATACTGCATTTTACTTCTAACATTATACTGCGTTCTACTTAGTATCGTGTTTCATTCAAACAGTGCTTCTCTCTTCTGAGTTCTGCTCCCTCATCGATATTTTTCCACTATCCACATTTATATTTTCTTCATATCTCTCTCTCTAGAAGAAAATTAAGGCTCTTTTGCTAATTGATTAAAGATTAAAGAAAAGAAAACGAAAAGATCTAATAATTAAGAGCAATAAGCTATGGCCATAGAGATTGAGAAACCCATAGTTGGGCTATCAAAAATGGCCACATCAGATACCCATGGAGAAGATTCACCTACTTTGCTGGGTGGAAAGCATACGATGAAGATCCATTTGATGAAGTTCACAACCCATCTGGTGTTATTCAAATGGGATTGGCCGAAAATCAAGTAAGTGATGAAGATAGATATTCCTATTTCAGTATATGTAAAACGCATTATAATATTGCGTTTTAGATAGAAAAGTAAATTTTTTTTATAGACTGCGTTTTAGATAGAAAAGTAACTTTTTTTTTAAAACTGTAGAAACGTGTTTTGAGTCCAAAAAGTTTTGAACCTAGTTCTCACTATTTTCCGCAGAAAACCTCATACCATTAAGAGATTCATACACTTTATATATATGTTCCCAATTTTTCAACTACTAATGCAGGATTTTGTTCACATAACCAGCTCTTTGGAAGTCGATAATCTACGATAAAGCGAATATGGTTACTATCTTTAAATCTTGTGTTCACAACCAAATGTTTCTATGGATGTCAACAACTTTACATCCTCATAGAGGAAAGACTCGAGCCTACAATCCTAGGACGATAAGGGTCCATGCTCTATTGTTCCCAATATTCTACGCGCAACTTCTGCATGATAAAAAGGTTTTAAAAAGTTCATAGAAGGTCCACAAAAATCTAACCATGGAAATTCGTAAATTATTGACGTCAAATATTGCTTACAGCATACTTTATATGATGGTGACTGAGTACATAGTTTACAAAAAGAAATTTAAAAAAGAATTACACATTAGCTAAATATATACAAAGAATATTGTAGATCACTTGTAGAACCCAATTGTATAAGTATAGCTTTTCAAAATATATTTGAACCCACAACAAAATTTATAGTATCAACCGGACACACATTACCCCATTAGAAGCTTGTTTTCTTTCTGAGTAACTTTTACTCATGGATGATGAACTTCAGGTTTGTATATTATGACATCGTTCCATTAAAAAAAAAAGAAAAAGAAAAGAGAACCGGGCCATAACAATTGGAGTAAGAGAATCCAGGAAACAATTATGCGAACAGAATGTCATTTGGGGAAGAAAACATACAAATGAGTAGTGGATTATGGTTAAAAGAAAAACGATGGGGAAAAGCAGAGAATATTCAGATATAAATTCAAAAGCAATTGTCTGCTTCATATAATGTTTTTTTGTAATCCAAGAAAGAAAAAATATATTATAGTACTTTTAAAGACATTATGAGGTTTTGTGTTATTTATAAGTTATAATCACATGAAGCCAAGATCTCCCTCAACTGGCTGGAGAATCTGTAACTAGCCCTTGTTTCAGAAAAGAAAAAGATTTCACCACAAATGAACATAGAGGACAACTGGAATGAGCAAGTGTTCGTCCTCGTCTCTTGTCCTTGAAGGAAGTACAAAGAATATATGTTTCTGCTCTTGCAGGAAGGGACAGTAGCCTCGCTGCTAACATCACAGCTCAAAGAAATGAGCGACTCTTGGACAGGTATCGACAACTATTTAAGAAAACAAGCTCATGAGAGGAGGAGCTTCTGATTCAGTTGTTAGAACATTGCCCTCTATAAAGGTTATGTTGTTTCATATAATCAATTACTTCATCGGCTGTCAAGTACTTCACTGATAACCCTTTCGAGATGCAGTCCCTGACATGAGAATCAAAAGAAAGTTTGTCCAACAATTTATCCTGATTCAATTCATATATCCTAGCTAGTCATATTGAGAATTTTTACCTTAATCCCGTTGAACTGATTCCATTAGGCACTACTTCATCCACAACTTTGATATTTTTCTGCAAAATTAAATGTTACAGAACACAATATTACATGCCTCCTCGACCATAACCTCACGTTCTCTTATGAAGCTGTCTCTGAATTATGGCATTTTAACATCTCAATAATGTCTACTACCAGTGGCAACCCCCCCACCATACAACAGCCAATCATCTCAGTTAATGAGCTAAAGAGAACAAGGGACAACGGTTTTGAGTTCTTAATGAAGTTACCTTATATTCGTTCAAAATATCATCACCCGCAATGATCTTTTCAACATCCTGACCACCTCGCCGGACACAAACCAAGCCAAAGTCTCTACATATGGTCCTGACCTATAAAATCAACAAATGAGCATATCCTATTTCTTCTACACAACACTTATAAGCATAACTTCAATCCAACATGAGGGAGGAAGTATTTCGCTTCTGATAAATCCCTTTAAATGAACTTACCTGCTCAGGTATCCAAACTCCAGGTGTGCTGAAAGATTCTAGCAGATCAGAACCACACACAAGCATGACCATGAGGGCTTCTGCAAGTTAAAAAAAAAAAAACCACTATTAAAACTTGCATGGAAGTTCGTATGCTACAATAGAATCAAATGAAGATTTCACTTGGATAGATAATACAAGTTTACAATGTGAACTGGCCAACTATTCCCTGCCTTACGGATAGAATGGCATGTTCATTTTTGCATGGTTTCTTATGGTTGCACAGCGACTAAGTAATAGTTTATTAGGTAGTAACTAGCATGTGCATTGATTTACGATAAGTGGGAACGTGGGACAAAAAGTTAGCTGATGGACTATGGTTGCTCAGTTAACCTGTAAAAGTAGGAGTAACTGGACTTGCCATTATATACAAGTGATAAAATATAAATTCTACGAAGTGAACATCAAATTGACAGAACCGAATGGAGAATATGACATTTGATTTTAAGCAAAGAAAGTACACATATTTTCACAACAAAGCTACCTCCACAGGCTCCACAGGAGAAATGTACTGCACAGTGATCTATTAACTAAATGCTCAGACAAAGATAGAGTAAAGCTTCAATACCTAAAGCACATTCTCTATGTTCCAGTTTGGTTCAATTTCATTCTTCATTTTTTTATATTTGTTTGGTTGGGAAAATAGTATCATCTGACTTTTCCTCAACAAAAAATATATACTAAGCATGTCGCTATCCCCAAGTTCTGAGCACTATTGCCAGCTAACCTCTACTACAATAATCTTTACTCCATCCTTGAACCAACTACCAAAATCATCCAAGGGGATTTGCGAGCAAGAACATGGAGATGAAAGCCCGCCAGTTGGTGGACAAGGAATATCTGCAAATATGAGATGCAACTGAAACAACCTCTTCTAAGTAAAGCCAGGGTGCTAAGAAATTGCAAAATAAATGTTAGTTTGATGATTTGACACCACATACAGGAAATTTACCAACATGTTGCATGCTGGATAAGATGGAGGTGTCAACAATGAGTTCTACCACTTTCTGTAAGTTTTACACAAATGGCCCTCATAAACCAAAATTTTCTGGGAAGAGGAATAAAGTAATATTTGCTCTTCTTTTCCTTTTATTGGGGTCAGGTTGGAGGTTGGGAAGGGAGTAGATAAATATTCTTTCACTAAAGAAAGAAGTGAGAAGTGAAAAAAGAAGTGAGGATTCATATCGTGGACCCTAACTTTGTTTGGGACTGAAGCTTAGTTGTAGTAGTAGTTGTTGTTGTAATACACACCTACACTGTCTCAAAAGTATGTACAATGTCATAGTAAAGAAAAGGGTTTTTTATTTATAAAATTGAAATGCTAGTTTCGGTAGGACTGGAAAGTTTCTCCTGTAACCAATTGACCATCAGACTAAATTCCTATTAATACTCTGCAACACACACTTACTGATGTCAATAATGGACCTTACCACTGGATGCCAAACTTCCACCACAGAGAGCGGACTTTATTCTGGAGAGAACTGTCAATGTTCGTTGATAGCTATCCTGGGTTGCCTGTATAATTATTTTAAGCAAAATTAATTGATAGGATGAAGGTAATTTAGTTTGTATCAGACTGAGGCACTGGTGTAAAATACAACAAATAACTAGGTGTCAGCAGCAACTATACCAAGTAGGATCCTAATATTACTCACATCAAAAAGGGAGGTTTTTGGATTTCTTTTTTTGGAGGAGGATAGAGAGTGAGAGAGAGACCTCCCAGGGATCTGTCATAACGAATTCTGAGCTTTTACAAGCTAATTGGCACATTGCAACACGATGCTCAGCAGATATAAGACCCTGCAAAGATAAGGAGGCAATGCATTAGCAATACCGCTTTTTTGTGCATTAGTAACATTGACAGCAGAAGCAGAGCATGTTCAATCTTTTATATATAGTATACCAGCAAAAGTGTTAAACAGAGCAAGAAACTACACCTCATGACTAAGAACAGCGCGTGTTAGTATAACATTGTGTCAGGTTGCAGATCACAAACAATATACACTCGTTCATAATGCAACAACATGATGATCAGAAGCAAGTTATAATATAGCAAAGCTACTATTGTTCCTTTTTCTTATCTCGGCTCCAGTTACACATTTCAAAGCAGTTTCACTACCTGGAGATATGCTACATACCTTCTTCTTATATGCATCATTTACTGGTGACATATAACCTCCAATTACGCAAAGCCCTTCTGAAGTCAATGCATCTCTTGCCAACTCTGAATCAATATTGTCAAAAGTTCAGAAAAACCCACTAAATAGATTAAATGAACTTCACACTCACAGTCTAACATCATATTCATTTTGAGCAGCTTATGTGGTTGAGGACTTACTACTTACATAGTTTTTTCAAATTCATCTGAATAGAAAAAACATAGAAATATTATTCTTCTTTATAATCAACCACAAGTGTCCCCTTCAGTCCCAACCCCCCCCCCCCCCAAACCCCACCCGCTCGTGCCGGGGAAAACAAAGGGAAAAAGGAAAAGAAGAAAAAAGTCAGCAAGAGAAACATTGTAGAGGTTGGATAGTACGTACCAAAACAGCGCAAGTGCATGTAAGTAGGAGGATTGAAACTTCCTGTGGATACAAGAACTACATATGTCCTTTTCCTAGAAGCAAGAGAGAGAGTTAGCAACAACGCAGATCCAAAATTTATTTTTAAATAGTTTTAGCAGTGAACTCGTTGTACTTTTGATATTATGGGTTCAGATATTAAACTTGATGGAATTCTAGTGATACTTCACGTATAAAATTTAAACTGTGTCTCGAAAATACTGGGATCAATTGAACCCACAACACGAGGGATGCATCAGCCTCTGGTTAGCATGTTCCTGTAGAATATACTGAATAAGAGGAAGTAGGGTGAAGAAGAAATAATAAAATAAAGTACATCAAATCCAGGTACGCTGGCAAGTAGGTATATTCATATCTTGCTTTTTTTGCTTTTCTGCATTAATAAGTCACCACAGAATTTTTCAACACTACTGCAGTTGTGAGAGCTGCCACATCGGAAAGTGGACTTGGAAACTACTCAATTTTACTTCCATTATAAAGCTTGTCCATTTCATGGTGATTCACCCATGCCCCTTTCAAACATAAATTACATTTGATTACTGAAAATGATGTCAGACTATCATAAACTGATAAACAAGCACATTTCATGACAATTGGCAGCTGCAATGGAAGAGTGAGTAGTAAACAGGCAACTATAAAACAAGTCAGCCAACAATTGAAGCTTGATGTGATACTCTACTAGAGATTAATTAAATCAGAAACTAAAAATTAGTGTTGAATTAGTCAAAGATCATATACTAAACTTACTTCCTTTCAGCACTTGATTGCCCCTCCTCTTGTTTTATTAAATCTAAAGACAACTTATCCCATGGTAAAGCAATATCAGTCATACCTATGAATTCAAACAGAACGTTAGCACCAAAAAAGGGGAAGAAGAAAAATAAGCATAAGCACAACCAAGAAATGGTAACTCGCATCTGCTAGAATACTTAAAGAAAAAGCATATCAAATAACAAGTAGAATATGATTTTTCAAAATTAAACTAGTCCAACCCAATCTATGTTCAAATTTTCTTTCTTTTCTTATCAATGATTAGAACAGCTACTTTATACAGAAATCAAATCTTCTTTTTCTTTTCCCTTTATTTATCAAGAATACTAAAATTAATTCAAGACGATAGATTGGGAGGTCGGATCAAAAACAAATAAAAAGAGAACACCACTATATCAGAGTAACAAAATCACCTAAGTACAACTCTGGAGTATTCTTAATCAGCATAGATGAAAGGTCATAAAAGCTATATTATGAATATTGATAGGGTATCACTGCCTTTTAGATGCTCGCTAATAACAAAGGGACTACCTGTTACATGAATACCTTTGGGTGTGTTTGGTATGACGAATGTCATTTTTCGTGAAAATACTTTCTATGACGAAGTCATTTTCTGGTGTTTGGTTACCATAAGGAAAACACTTTCCATCAAAATGGAGAAAATGACTTCCATAACTTATGAGCGGAAGTCATTCTCCATAGAACTATCTTGACTTTTAAATTTATATTACTTGCCCAAACTAACACTTAAGACATCTATATTTATATAAATCGACTATTCTTCCATGAGATGTCAGCACTAAGTTAATTTGGCGTTAAACGCGTGAGTTTTTGTGAATGCTTCAAATGCACCTAGTGCCTTTTCGACTTCCTAATCCTTTCATCTTCCTTTCCTTTTCCTATTTAAGAGTTCAAAGTCCTAGGTTCCACAGATGCATTTGAAGGAAGATGAAAGGAAGAGTAAGTCGAAAAGGCACTAACGCATTTGAAGCATTTACATAAATCTTAAACATTATGCTCAATAATGTACCGAAAAGGGATGGATAAGTAGGACACTCGATATATCACATACTGTGTATGCGGATGACACCCTCTTGTTGTGCAGAGCTGATAAGGAACAAATATTACATTCAAGAGTTGTGTTGCTGGCTTTTGAAGTTGTCAAAGGCCTGAAGATCAATATGTCCAAAAGTTCCATCTTTTCTGTTAATGCTGATAATGAAATTGGATCCCTGGCAGATTTAGTGGGTTGTAACATTGAGGAGTTTCTAACTACTTACTTGGGGCTACTATTGGGTGTGTCACACCTCCTTTTTTTACCCCCGGAAGGGAGATAGGGGAGTTTTTTCCAATTTAAGTGACAATCGAAACGGGATTATTTATTTAAGTTCAGAGTCGCCACTTGGGATAATTTATGGTGTCTCAAGTCACCGGTTTAAAATCCCGAGTCGAGGAAGTTTGACTCTGTTTCAGTCCGCGAAACACAGAATCCGGGTAAGGAATTCTGTTAACCTGGGAGAAGGTGTTAGGCATTCCCGGGTTCCGTGGTTTTAGCACGGTCGCTCAACTATTATTATTGGCCTAATTATCTGATTAATTACATATTTATACCTATTATGCATTTTTAACCTTTGACCGCTTTTAATTATTTATGGAATTATTCTGGAACAAGTTACGATTGTCGTACACTTGTTTGTTTGGTACACATTGCGAATCGTGTCACGGGAACCGTACCCACAATTTACAACATGTTTAAATTATTAACATTATTAGTTGTTATGGCCGGGTCACAAAAATGTACCCCGGATTTGGAAATTATGTGTCATGACTACGTCACGGGAACCATACCCGTAGCTATGATAATTTAATTATAAACGGGCCTAAAGCAGGCTACGATATTTGTGATTCTATTATCCTAAAATTTGAGATTTGCATGCGAGGTTCGGATATTATGGAAATTATCGGGAGAGGTTGACAAATTAAACAAAGGTAAAGACAATATAACGAAAGCAGTGTACATATCATTATTTTATGCTTATCTAATCAGATCCAGCCCAAATTCATGGTGTTTACTACTTAACATGGAAACCAACCAACTAAAGAAATAGATCAAATTAAATTAATTTCATGAATTAGTAACTTAGTCATACAAGCACAAACTCATCGCCGAAAATCTTGGTACAAATTTCACCACCTAATGTGATTACTTAAAATCCCCAAACTCAGGCGAGAAAAGCACTAAGAAACACGACACCCAACTCATCAAATGATCTCAGAATAACCAAAATCAATCAGAAAATCCAACTAACCCATTAAGTACTAAAAATCAATAATCCCTAACACAAGGAAAACAGCAAGTCAAATTAACATAGAAGCAAACCGCCAAATAGTTCAGGGATAGAAATAATTCGAATGTTCCATTTTAAATCTCAAGAAATACTCAAATTCATGAACTAACATAATGAGATAGGTATAAGAAATGGACCTTCTTGAGCGAATTATTCGATTAATGGAACTCAGAGTAACATTTCTGTTTAGCCGAAAAAAGCAAAATCAGAATCTGTCCTAAAAATTGCAGCGACCAGAGATACCAACGGGAACGGAACCTCGAACAGAGCCTCGCGCCGGCGGAAGGAACAACGGTATCACAGCAGTTCGAGAGATGACAAATCGAACGACTCTTAATTGTGGAACCACGGAAATCAACAGCTCCGGCTTCCAACTCTAAATCCTAAAGGGAAATGGGGTTTCTGCGTTGAGTACAGGCATTTGTTTTATTGCCAGTTCTAGTGGCTTTCATCGATCTGGATGAGGAGCTCGAGTTTTTTCCTTCGGACTTAAAATTCGGTCTTGATTGTCAGCCAAATTACATTAGTATTTTAAATAGAATTTATATAATTAGCATTTGACAAATATCTCTCCATGGAAAAGCCATGTAGCAATCATTCATAACGATAGAAACATGCACTTGTGGCTATAAATAGCATTCATTAGCCATTCATTCTATCATCACATATCCTCCTTATATCTCTCTTCTTCCTTCCAATTTATTTTCTGTCATATTTAATTAACATTACACATTAGTTGTTCTTCCTTTTTTTTCCTACTAGCTAGATTTATATAATATTTAATTTGGTTGATTCTTGTATCCTCTAAATAAAATAAAGGTAGGTTTGTTTAATCCTGGAAAACATTTCACATTGCTGAAATAGTTTCTTAGGACAGTGCTTAGCACGATTCAAGTTAATCCGTGTATCCGTTCACAAATAATATTATTGCAGTATTATTATTGTTATTTTGCGGTGTCATTTCCCTACAATCTAAGGCCCCGTTTGGCCATAAGTTTTGTCAAAATAGATTTGAAATTTATTTTCAAAACTCATGTTTGGCCATAAATTTTGCCCATATTTTGGCCAAATTCCAAATCTCAAATCTCAAATCCCAAAATCAGCTATTGAGCTGATTTTGGGCCAAAATCCCAAAACTTGGGTATTATATACATGTTTTTTCAAAATAAAGTTGGAAAATATGTTTTGAAAACGTATGTCCAAACACATTTTCATCTTCAAACCAAACTTCACCCAAATCAAATTTTTCAAAATAAATTTGGGATCTATGGCCAAACGCTAGCTAAGAAACTATGGCAAGTAATACTACTGCGAAAATTTTTGATGGTGCTACCAATTTTGGTGTTGTCTCTACTGCTACTGTTCCAGCTGTCCTGCCAGATATCTATGGTGTTGCAAATACGTTATTGCATCCACAACTTTGGCAGACACTAATGTCAAAATACAGGTATGTAGATAGACATGGTTACATATCTAATGCTAATATTAAAACCTTCAAGAAAAATGCACCTCAATGCAATAGTAGAGTTGGGATAAATGACAATCTCGCTAAGTCAAAATTAAATTTGACTAAAGCGGATAATATAATTGTTGCGGTCATTTCTCAAATAAATAATGTGGCCAGTGTGAGAGATTGGGTGATAGACTCTAGTGCTACTAGGCACATTTGTGCAAACAAAAATGAAATTTTGTCTTACACCCAAGTTGAGGAAGGAGAAGAAACTATTTATCTTGGTGACTCAAGAACAACTCGTGTTCTTGGGAAAGGAAAAATTCTTCTCAAACTCACATCTGGTAAAACTCTAGCATTGAGTGATATATTGCATGTTCCTAATATCCAAACCAATTTGGTTTCTGTGGGGTTATTAGAAAAAGTTGGAGTAAAGGTGTCATTTGAAAATAATGAGGTCATATTGACCAAAAATGATATTTTTGTGGGCAATGGATATTGTAACTATGGTTTATTTGTGCTTAATATTTCTGATACTAGCAATGAAAATGCATCTTCTTCTGCTTATATGGTTGAGTCAATTTCTTTGTGGCATGCTAGACTAGAACATGTTAATGTCGCGTATATAAAGAAAATGCAGTCGCTAGGATTAACATCTGGTTTAGACTCAAGTAATATTAATAAGTGTGAAATATGTGTTGAAGCTAAAAGTACAAGAAAGACTTGTTTTTCTGTAAATAGAGAACTGAATTGTTATCTTTAATTCACACTGATTTAGGCGATTTAAAGCAGACTATGACTAGAGGTGGTAAAAGATATTATGTGACTTTTATTGATGATTTTTCTAGATATACTAAGCTGTATTTGCTTAGAAATAAAGATGATGCATTTAATGCTTTTATTTCTTATAAATCTGAGGTTGAAAACCAACCAACTTAGTAGAAAAATCAAGAGAATTAGATCAGATAGAGGTGGAGAATATTTATCTTTAAATGAATTTTGTGTAAATAATGGAATTATTCATGAAATAACTCCGCCTTATTCACCTGAGTCAAATGGAGGCTGAAAGAAAAAATAGAACATTGAAAGAGATATGAACTCTATGTTAGTTAGTTCTAATGCTCCTGATAATTTGTGGGGTGAAGCTATTCTATCTGCATGTCACTTACAAAATAGAATACCACATAGAAGAACATGCAAAACTCCTTATGAATTGTGGAAGGGTTATAAACCTAATTTAAAATATTTAAAAGTGGGGGAGTGCCTTGCTAAAGTTCTTTTGCCTGAACCTAAAAAAGAGAAAAAAGGTTCTAAAACTGCTGATTGCATGCTTATTGGATATGCTGAACATAGTGCTGCATATAGATTTCTTGTTTTAAAAAGTGATGTGCTTGATTGCAATACTATAATTGAGACAAAGAATGCCGAGTTCTTTGAATATATTTATCCATTTTCTGATAAAATTTCTCATACACCTGTTGAAATATATAATGAAATTACCTCTAATGAGGAACTGAGAAGGAGCAAAAGGCCTAGGAAAGAATATTTTTCTTGTGGAAATGATTTTCAAACTTTTCTTGTCGATAATGAACCATCAAATTATTTTGAAGCTATATCTTCTTCAGATGCTAAATATTGGAAAGAGGCAATAAAAGTTGAAATTGATTCCATTATTAAAAATAATACATGGATTTTAACTGACTTACCTCCTGGTGCAAAACCTATTGGTTGTAAATGGTTTTTCAAAAAGAAATTTAATCATGATGGATCTTTAGATAAATATAAAGCTCGGTTAGTAGCAAAAGGATTTTCTCAAAAATAAAATATAGATTATTTTGATACATTTGCACCAGTGACTAGAATTTCTTCTATTCGAGTTTTAATTGCCTTAGCTTCAATCCATAAGCTTTTTATCCACCAAATGGATGTGAAAACTGCTTTTCTAAATGGTGATTAAGAAGAAGAGATTTATATAGTTCAACGTGAAGGTTGTGTCATTCCTGTACAAGAAAATAAAGTTTGTAAATTAATTAAATCTCTTTATGGCCTTAAACAAGCTCCTAAGCAGTGGTATGAGAAATTTGAACAAGTCTTACTGAGAGACGGTTTTTCTTCAGTTGAGGTGGATAAATGTGTTTATACTAAAGTGGTAGACAATGATTATGTGATAATATGTCTATATGTTGATGACATGCTTATATTTGGTACAAGTTTAAATATTGTGCAAAGTACTAAATTATTTTTGTCTGCTAATTTTGATATGAAAGATCTGGGTGAAATAAATACAATATTGGGAGTTAAAGTTATAAGGAGTGAAGATGGAATAATGTTGTCACAAGAACATTATGTTGAGAGACTTCTTAAGAAGTTTGAATTTTTTTAATGTCACATCTGGGAGCACTCCTTTTGATGCTAACTCTCAATTAAAAAAGAATAATGGTGACCCAGNTGATGCCACGAGATGGCTTGTTATTGCGCTTGGGCCGTAAGGGGCCCCTCCAGGAGTCTGCACACCCCCAGTGAGCGCGGGTACCCATTGTGATGTGAGAGTGAGCCCGAGGGGCTGTTACTGTTGTGAGATGTTGCCCGAGGGGCGGTTGTGGTGTTATTATGCCCGAGGGGCGAACTTTTATTTGTTTACTTTATCATAAATATTCTGTCAATTACCTGTTTACTGGTTTAAAGAGCATTTTTCCTGATTCTTACTTGTTTTCCTGATTATAAATGATTTTACTGCTTCATTATAGACTGCCATACGCTTTACGTGTTTTCTTGCTTTCAGTGATTATTTATATTCATTACTCACTGAGTTGGAGTACTCACTTTACTCCCTGCACCCTGTGTGCAGATTCAGGTGTATCAGGTTCCGCTCCGGAGTGTTGATTTCCTCCAGTTCCAGGTGGGCTTCTTCGAAGATTACGAGGTAGCCGTTGGCGTCTGTAGCCCCGTGTCTCTATTTCTTCATCTTTCCTGTTCTCTTCAAACAAATGTAGTAGTCTATGACTTAGCAGACTGTAGTGTGGATTCATAGATGCTCGTGACTTGTGACACCCCGGTTAGGGCTGTGTCGGGTTGGATTTCTGCATTTTTACTGTTAATTCCGCTATTTGGCATTAGTAAATCATGTTCTAAACTATTATGTGTTGGTTAACTGTGTTAAAAGATGAATTGGGTTTGATCTGGCTGGCCTTGTCTTCACGAGAGGCGCCATCACGACCGGGTTCGGGGTTAGGGTCGTGACTAGTTGGTTTCAGAGCCTAGGTTACATAGGTCTCACGAGTCATGAGCAGGTTTAGTAGAGTCTCGCGGATCGGTACGGAGACGTCTGTATTTATCCTCGAGAGGCTGCGGAACCTTTAGGAAAACTTCACCTTCTTGAAATTCTTATCGTGCGAGTTGTTGATCCGAGTACTAAGCTTCTATTGTTCCATTCTCTCACAGATGGTGAGGACACGCGCTACTGGACAGGATGGACGACCACCAGCTGCGGCCACCAGGGGCCGAGGACGTGGTCGTGGCCGTGGTAGAGGCAGAGCAGCGAGGGCAGCACCTGTTGATCCACCAGCTGCCCCAGTTCAGGACCAGGTTCCAGCTGTGGACCCTCCAGCAGCACCAGCTCAGGCACCAGTTGTGCCTATTGTGATTTCGGGTCTTCAGGAGGCCTTGGCTCAGATCTTATCGGTTTGCACTGGCCTAGCTCATGCGGGTTCAGCTACTACAGCCGCAGCTACTTCACAGGCCGGGAGAGGCAGTCAGACTCCCGCCGCCTGCACGCCTGAGCAGGTCGTGCAGGGGCTTCAAACGCCGGGGGCACCTCCAGCCCAGCCGGTTACAGCTGCTCAGGACTATGTAGTTCCTGTCATGCCAGAGGATGAGCAACGCAGGTTGGAGAGATTTGGGAGACTTCAGCCTCCGTCATTCAGCGGAGTAGAGGGCGAGGATGCCCAGGGCTTTTTAGACAAGTGTCAGAGGATGCTTCGCACAACCAGTATTCTGGAGACCAGCGGGGTCGCTTTCACTACTTATCAGCTTTCAGGACCAGCTTTTACTTGGTGGGAGGATCTTGAGAGGCGTAGGCCTGCTGGTGCAGCACCCCTATCTTGGCAGCAGTTCTCCGTTCTCTTTCTGGAGAAGTATGTACCGCAGTCTCGCCGAGAGGAGCTACGT